CTAATTCCACTGAAAGTAGCGCGACAGGCTGGAGCCCTGCTCCCCCCTGACCCGCGTCCCCGGAGCGCGCCCAAGCAGGGTCTCTACACCGGGGGACACCAGTGAGCCAAACCCATCTTGTGGCCAGGACACCGATTGTTGGTATTTGCGGAGACTCAGAGCCAGGGACAAGTTCTGCCTTAAGCATCACCTGGCTTTTCTTTTTTTTTTTTTTTTTTGTGAGACGGAGTCTCGTGCTGTCGCGCCAGGCTGGAGCTGCAGTGGCCGCGATCGTGCCCGGGCCCCCGATTCTCAGCTCAGCTGCCCAAGCCCTCCGGCGCGCCCTCGCCGGGTTGCCGCAGTCGTTCCGTGCCCTCAGGCCTCCCAGAGTAGCTGCGCCGACTACAGCCGCGGCCCGCAACCGGTCGCCGTGGGCTAGTTTTTTGTAGTTTTGTTTGCCTGTTAGACGATTTCGGGGTTTCACCGCCTGTTCGCCAGGAATGGTCGTCGAGTCTCGCTGACCTGCGTGAATCGCCGCCCGTCGTGCGCCTCCCAAGAGCTGGATTACAGCCCTGTTGAGCACCGCGCGCGCGCCGGGGCGCGCGCCACCTGCCGGGGCTTGTTTCATCTTGTCATGTGGAGTTTAATATTTTGAGAGGAGGAGTGGGACTCGAGCCAGGGGTGGCAAACACAGGGCAGGGCAGGAGAACAGTGTCCAGGGCTGACGGAGGAGCAGGTAGCATGGACGCCTCCCTCCCCTGGGCTCCCTCATAGCCTTGTGTGACTTCCTCTAGGGGAGTTGTCACCTGCTGATTATCTGTGTTGCCCACAGACAGGGACCCCACTGAGGGTCAGATTCATGTCTGGGCAAACGGAGACTTCCGGAAAAAGAAGCGAAAGGAGGATGACCAGACCCAGAGGAGAGGCGTTTGGGGACAGAAGGGGTGAGGGGAACTTGGAGACCTTTGCTCTCTAGCAGCCCCACTGGGACAGGATTTATTTTTATTTTATTTTATTTTATATTTATTTTACTTTATTTTATTTTATTTTATTAATTTTTGGAGATGGAGTCTCACTCTGTCGCCCAGGCTGGAGTGTAGTGGCGCAATCTCGGCTCACTGCAAGCTCCGCCTCCCAGGTTCAAGCGATTCTCCTGCCTCAGCCTCCCGAGTAGCTGGGACAACAGGCATGCGCCATCACACCTGGTGAATTTTTGTATTTTTAGTAGAGATGGGGTTTCACTGTGTTGGCCAGGCTGGTCTCAAACTCCTGATCTCATGATCCGCCCGCCTTGGT